AAGCAGATGCATATAGTATATCCATACATACAAGAAATATATATTCAACAGGAACATACGACACATACATACCCTCCACTGTGACTACATGGTGCTCGAATAGCTCTGCGAGAGTGATCGATTTATGTCTAAGTTGATCTCCGAGTTACAAGCAAACACATCAAATATATACACACCTTAGACGTCCATGGCATATATACATATACCAAACACATACATACAATATACAATATACACAATGAACATACCAACACAAACATACCGTCGACTGTGACTGTGTAGTACCCGTGCTGTTCTGTGAGAGTGTTCGTTTCAAACTCGAATGCGTTCCCCCAAACTGAGCTGTTGCCGTTGTCTGCCAACCAGACGCTGAGTTCTGCGCACTGGCCTGTGTAGCAGTACCTACCGCCTCTGCTGCACCACCTGTCCGGTTAAACCCGATAACAGGACTGAGTATATCTGGCTTGAACGCACTCCCCGATAAGGACGAGTGCGAGCGCGGGCTGCTGATGGGCCGAGCATTCGTACGCGTACTCCCTGGCCCGGAGCCGTTGCTATGGATACGCAGCGAGGGGGAGTGTGTGGAGGTGCTTGTGATAGTGCCAGTGGTTGGATCCATCTGTGGGCGAAATGCATCGAATTGCTCCTTTAGTTGCTTTTTCAGTCGCTTGTTGACTTCGGTTAGGTGTGTTACATCCTGCTCGGCTATCTGTTTGCTTTCATCCAACGCCTGTTTGGTGTTGAGGTTTGGGGTTTAGGGGTGGGATATGGATTTCTGTTTAGAAAGCTGTGATACCTGTGGCTGTTATGCCTTGTGACACACTAGCGGCATAGTACCAATAAACAAACATAAATGAACAAATGTAATGTTGAGTTGAATTGATATGAGTGCTTCGATTGGTGTCGTGATTGCATCTTCAGTCGTTCGTTAACCGTTTGTGAGTGAGTGTGTTATACGTTGGCTAGAGCACCGCTTATTTGCCTGATTGTCGGATTGTGAGGTTGAAGGTTTCAGGAGTTTCAAGATTGTAAAGCAATATATATATACATATATATATGTATGTATGTATTATATATATATATATATATATATATATATCTATTTCATGATTTTTGAAGTAATTTCAGTGCTCAAGAGTTCAGATCAACCTTCCCACATACAAGATTTGCCGGGGCGTAAGTACCCTCGGATATAAAGTCAACTCGAGATAACACCTGTTTTCTAATATGGCGGGGTATACACACTCTCTGGTATGCTGGCAAAGACATGCCACCTGATCACCGTAATATACATACACTTTAGTATAGCATACGATTAATACATACCATCTGGTATACTGACAAATACACACCCGAACACTGGCAAATACGCATCTTCTGATATACCATTAAAATACATATTATCTGGTATACTGAGAAACACGTACCTACACGCCCTCTGGTGTACTATAACACACATACCCTCTGATACATGGTCAGCTGGCTAATCGTCGAGTCCTTCTGAGCTAGTAGCTGATCTTTTTGTAAGCGTTCCTCGGTGGTGTCACTCAGTTTTTTCTTTAACTCTGCAATTTCTGTTTAGAGTACGATAGTATAACATTGTCAAACGCTGCAGTTTCTGTGTAGTGTACGATAGTATAACATTGTAAAACGCTGCAATTTCTGAGTAGTGTATGATAGTATAACATTGTTAAACGCTGCAATTTCTGTGTAGTGTACGATAGTATAACATTGTTAAACGCTGCAGTTTCTGTGTAGTGTACGATAGTATAACATTGTCAAACG